CGCCAAACACGGAATATTCAGAGGGTACACGAGGCTCCCAAGACTTGCTGCCGACGCCATCTGCTCGGACCCCACCTGGGGAGAGGCCTGGACTGTCGCTGCCCCTGGCTGCTTTGATCGGGCCGGGCGAAAGGGGGGGGATAGCAAAAGGGGGGTGTGAGAATCAGCTGACGTAGCTGATTTTCCCGGCGCCTCCCGGCGCCGGAGGCGGCTACGAATCGAGGAATGGGCCCCTCGGTGGGGCCGAAACCAGCCGCATGCCGCAGATTTCGCAACCCTGGGCCGGTGCCTCCGGCGCGAGCCCGAGGAGCTGGACCTCCGCCGGGAGCGCGCCCTCGGGGAGCGCGACCTGGACCTCCGCCACGCGCTCCGCGAGAAGGGCGCGCCCCCGCGGTACGGCTGGGCGGGCGGCGCGCACAGCGAGGAGCGGCTGGCGCGAGGGGGGGTGGGGGCGGCCCTCTGCCCGAGGCCGCGCGGGCGGCGGACGCGATGGGCCCGTTTCCCCACCACCACCACCATAAATTGGAGGGGAAGGGGGTCCTCCTCCTCCTCCTCCTCCTCCTCCTTCTCCTCCTCCTCATCATCCTCCTCCTCCTCCCCCTGGCTCAAGACAGGGGCATTAAAGGTAATGACAGGCAGCGAGAGCATGCTCCAGCTAAACTCGACGATCCAGCAGCTGCAGCGACAAACTCAAACCAGGACCAAGTCGCGCACTACCAGGACTTGGTCCAGTTTTGGAAAGAGAAAGAAGGAGCTGGAGGCTCCAACTACGCCGAGGCCGCCGACCAGCTCAAAATGGCCAAGAAGACCGTGCTGCAGGCCAGGCCGCTCGACCAGCAGGCGCAGTCGCTGCGCGAACAGATCGAGAGGACCAAAGACAGAATTGCCAAGGCCGAGGCGCAGTCAGAGGAGAAGCTCGAGGGGATCACCAAGCTCGCGAACGAGTACACGGAAGTGCAGGACAGCATCGCCGCGGCGCGCGAGGAGGTGGCCCAGCTGGAGGCGCAGCACGCGATCACGGTGCACACGGTGGCCGCCAACACGCCGAAGCCGATCCGCACCAGCCGCCCGTTCCCGTCACTCAGCCAGCTGCGTGACCAACTCCAGCAAGGCCCAGTCCACAGCGTGCCGCCGCGCATCCAGGAGCAGGTGCACGCGCTGGAGGCGAGCATCAAGCAGGCGGCGCAGCAGATCTCCTCGCAGCCGCAGCCAGCCCCCGCGGCAGCTCCCCCCCAGTCAGCGGGGGTGCCAGGCGGCGCCGCTGCCACGGGCGCCGCTGCGGGTAGCCTCAGCCAGGAGGTGCCCGTGGAGGCAGCAGCGGGAGGGGCAGCCGCGCCAGCAGCGGTCGCGCCGACTCAGGCGCCAGGCGAGCCTGACGGCTTCCCGAAGGTCGGCGAGACCGAGGAGGGCAGCATGGACCAGTCCACCGCAACGAACCAGAAGAGGCCCCACAGCGAACGTGGAGGGCTACAGCAGGCTCTTGGGTGCATCGCGCAGGAGACCTCCGCACAGGAGGCCACGAAGGCCCGCCAGGCTGCTCAGGAGGCCCTTGAGAAGGCCGCAGCGGCCAAGGCGGCGGGCAAAGGTTCAGACATCAAGCCGTATGGGTAACAAGCAGCTCAGCATCATCACCATCAACGGATGTTGTTGGCCCGCAGTACAGAAGCTAGTACATTCAGATGAAGTTCGAGACACTGCTGTGATCTGTGCTCAGGAGGTCAAGCTCCGAGGCGGCAAGCTGGCACAGGCCATGAAGTGGTGTGAAGTTCGAGGCTGGCATGCAGTCATCTCAGAGTGCGACGTCGGCGAGAACAACTACAACAGCAGCGGCGCGTGCATCCTCATCCGTTCAGGACTCAACATCGGAGTTCAACCAGCAGCGCTACCTGTCTACATTCCTCAAAGTCGTGCTGCTGCTGCTATTCTTGAGTTGCCAGGGCACAAGCCCATCGTCTTCCTTTCCATGTACTTCGAGGCCTCCGAGGGCCTCAACAACACTAACCTCTACCTGCTGGCAACGGCAGGCTCGTGTCAGTAGAAGTTCCGCATGCCTGCGTTCGCGGGGGCCGGCTTCAACATGGCCCCGCCCATGGTCGCAGGCTCGGGAGTTTTAGAACGCGCAGGTCTTGAGGCGGCGCGCCCATGAGGATGCGCACTTTTCACCAGCAAGACTCGCAGTGCGATTGATTATTTCATGATGAGCACGTGCCTCAAAAGTTCGGCGCAGGCGAGCAGTGCCCCTTGTCGCCCCACCGCCCCGCCAAGCTCAGCCTGGCGGCGGGATCCAGCCTCGTGACCCCCGCGCTCAGCAAGCCCCAGAAGCTCCCCACAAGGCGCCCGATAGGACCCGCTCAGCAGAATAAGGACTGGGTAAAATCGGCAGCCCTGGATACCGTGGAGCAGTTTTTGGATTCGGGGCCCCCAGAGATCCAACGAGCCGCCCTGGACAAAGCGTACGAGATTTTGGCTGCGTGGAAACAGTGGGTGAAAGATAAAATGGCATCGGGGGCGGGATGGGCTCGTAGGTGGACAAAGAAAAAACAACCTTGGAAGCCGACTCAAGTCAAAATGATCAGACCAGGGATGGCCCGCGCAATTGGCTCTCAGGCTGGTGATTATTCGGGGTGCCCAACAGAACTCCTGAATGCTGAAGTTCGTCGTCTCACGGCAATTTGGGGCCCCAAAGCAGTACCTCAAGACAGAGCCCCAGCAGATCCCCAAGCAGCAGAAGCCCTTCCTCGTATTACCCCTAGGGAGCTCAAGCAGGCCTTGAAGAAGTTCAGCCACGCCACGGCGGAGACTTGGGATGGTCTTCGCCCTAAGCATTTCGCCCTCCTCTCTTTGCAGCGGCATGGGGCAGCATTGCAGGCCCCTCAACATCGCAGAGCGCGTCGGGAGTATGCCGCCCCAGCTTCTCGCAGTTATAACAGCCCTCATCCCCAAACACAAACCTTCAGGTGACGGCCCCTCATACAGAGGGATCGGGCATATGCCAAGTACCTACAGAATTTGGGGGCGCATTCGGCAAGCTGAAGCCAGAAGATGGGAGCATCGGCGTCGTAGAAGTTTTCTTGCGCACCAGGCGGGAAGGTCAATCCTCGAGCTAGTGTACCAGCAGTCGCTCCAGGCAGAGAGCGGCGCCACCCAGGACTCCACCCTCCACGCAGCCTCCATCAGGTGGGACTTAACAAATTATTACGAACATGTCTTTAGAGCTAAGCTACATCGTAGTCCTCCATTCGGGCTGTATGGTGCGACCATGCCTGTCATCATGAACCAATGCAAAAGTCAACGCATGAGTACTCTCAATAATCAAACATCATATGCTGGCTATACGTCGAAAGGTATACCCGCAGGCTGCAGCTGCGCTACGTTCCTGGTCCAGATGTATTGTTTGGAGCCTTTAGATATATGGACATCTAGCGTACCAGTGCCCCATCCACATGTTTATCGATGATTTGCTTCTCCTCTTTTCCCACAGGCGCAAGGCCACCCTCGTCGCGGAACTGAGGAGAGCGGCCGCAAGTATGCTATGGGCGATTCAGTTTTAATTGGGATGCTCAGTCGCTGTTGCCAAATCCGCAGTCCTGTCCACGTCAGTGGGCATCCAGAGGAAGCTAGCCAAGCTGGTTGGCAAGTACTCAGGCCCGACGCCCTCGCATGCAGCTAATCTAGGATTTGATTTTCAAGCTGGTCAAAAACGTGGTAAGCACATCAGAAGCAGCAAGCTAAGAGAAAGGTATGGAAAGCTAAAAGCCAGGGTCCCAAAGATCCGAGCGGTTCACCGAGCAGGTGGAAACACGTTAAAGCTATATAGCACTGGTTTTGGGCAGGCTCAGTTTTATGGTTCTGAAGTGGTTGGTGTGGATGATGTTGAGGTTAGACAAACCAGGAGACTCTTCTTGAGAATAGCTGGCCCTGGGACCTCGACCATATCGTTCTCACTTGCGCTTTGCATTCTCGAGGACCCTTGCTGGCGCCCAGGTGTGGGGCCCATCCTTTTGTGGACGACGCTTGCATGGAGGGCCATGACGAGCGAGTTCGCGTCAGGTTGTAATCTTCCAGGTCTACGAGCAATGGCAGCGGCGATTTTAGCAGATCCGCCGACAAAGTGGAGCCAGTGCCGAGGACCGTTCGGAGCAGCAATCCTCAGTGCCCGCAGAATAGGATGGAAGTTCACCAGCCCCTTCACCATCATCGACCAGAATAACCAAGTACATATCCTAACTACTACATCGCCTGCCCTCCTCCAGCACTGGCTCCAGGACGCCTGGGCGCAGCAACTCAAGACTCAGGCAACGCAGAAGCTAGGTTTGGAGGGCCAGTTGGATACCAGTGTCGCCCAGGAACTCCTCAGGTCTAACTCAATCACGGACTCCGAAAAGTGTACCCTCAAAGCTTTCCTCACCCAGAGCATCTGGACCCACTCGTGTCTCATGAAAGCAGGTAACCCTACGGAGCCCCAATGTCAGTGGACATGCATCTGACGACCTTCATCGCAGACTCGTGAGTTGCCCCAGTACAGCTGTGCTTCGAGATGACATGTTTTCCCAGGACGAGAAAGACTCGCTTCAGGCCGGCTTCCAAGTGAGGCCAGATTTTGATATCGGAGCCCCCGAAGGTCTTGGGAACAGTTTAAACAATTGTAGAGTTTGGGTCAAAGAAGGCCACGCTGTCCAAGATGTGTTGAAAGGCAGGATCTACACAGACGGTTCTTGCATGAAGCAGGGACACGAGTGCTTTCACACTGCGGGCTTCGCCGCTGTGGTAATCAACGAGAGAGGCGAGCTCGAGGGAGCCGTCTACGGACCAGTGGGCATCAACCTTCCCCAATCCTCCCCCTTTGCCGAGCACCCTGCTGTGCTTGCCGCTGCTGCTGCTGCCCCTCCTCGAGCGATCACCGAGATAATCACTGATTATCCAGGCATCTTAGATGTGTACAGTCGACAGCAGTATTTCAGGAAGCATAAGTATGCTGGTGTCGCCATGCTTGCCCGAGGTAGCAGAGGGTGGCATGATAACGTTGCGTGTGTGAAGATAAAAGCGCATCAGGATTCGGAGGCGATCCCAATGGGAACGCCCGAGTGGCTCGATGCCACAGGAAATACTTACGCCGACAAATTCGCTAAATTAGGTTCCCAGTGTCTGCTCAGACCTTCCACCTCAGAAGTAGCGGAGGTCGAGGAGCAGAGGAAGCTGCTCAAGAAGTGGCTAATTTACGTTGCTAAAGGTTTAAGTTTGTGGGAGCCCGTGGGGCCAAAAACCAGCAAGAAAGCCTTTGACTCTCGGAACGAGGGCGCCGCCCAGCAAGTTTGGGCTGGAGCGTGAAGCGCACTTGCTGTCTGGCAGCAACCCATCCCACCTCCTCCCCCTGCCCTTGAGGCCCCTCGTCCCCCCCGCTTCCTCCACAGGTGGGAGTGGGGGTGGACGGGGAAATGGATATGCGCCATCTGCAAGACTAGATGTGCGCAAAGCAAGTTTGCAGGCCGCAAGGATGAAGCCTGCAAAGGATTTAATCAAGAATTGTCTGATGTAGCAGCGGACCCCCGCAGGCATCAGCTGTATGCTTTTGAGGAGACCAGGGGTGCAAATTTTATTCTTGCATGTGCCAGATGTGGTCTTTACAGTGAATCAAATGTCGTGGGCTTAAGCGAGGCCTGTGGAGGAGAGTTCAAGCGTCCAGGAGCTCGAACTCAGTGGAATCTGCTCTGTAAGGGAAAGCACCCCAAAAGCACCCTTTCCGCTCCCTCCAGGTACAGATGCCCGCCGCTCAGGTTGACGGATTATGTAGTTCGTCAACGTCAGGCCGCGTCCCTACAGGAGGACGCCAGGCCATAGGGTGGACAAACTCCGCCCCCAACCACGTGGTCCTCCTCCTCCTCCTCCTCCTCCTCCTTCCCCCCATCCAACTTATGGTGGTGGTGGCGGTGGTGGAAAACAAGCCAATCATTCGAGCCCGTGTCCGTGTCCGTGTCCGCACCCTCGCTGCCTGGATTCCGGGGCGCGAGCCAGCAGGTACGCCGTCGCACAAGCACGATCCGCGCGGGGCATCCGCGAGAAGACGCCCCGTGTCCGCGGGATCGCGGCCCAGGGTCCCGGCCCGCGAGGCCGCGGCCAAGGAGGTGATTCTCGCATACGAGAGTGGAAGGAGAAACGGCACAAGCATGAACCTTTGGCGCTCCTCGCGGAGCGCCAAAATAATACGTTTGTGCCATTTTCTGGGAGAGATATTGCCCTCACCCTTCCGAGTCGACTAGCGAATCGTCCTCTGTCGTCTCTCGAGAGGGTGCTGTAGCAGCCACTCACTGTTGCAGGCCTACGCCCGCCAGGTCTGGCCCCGCGTAGTCGTTTCCAGGGAAGGGTGTCTTGCTAAAGGGGGTTCTGTCCAGCCCTGATTCTGAGCAGGAGAGCCCAACATCGAACCGAGATATCGGATCGGCGATCGGCATGAATCGGATCGGCAGAAATCGGTAGCTGAGTGATAGATCGGAATCGGGATCCGAATCCGGAGCCGGATCGAATCGGAATCGGAAGCCATCGACATCGAATCGAATCGAATCGGAGGAATCGAAAGGTGCCCTGTTTCTGGGGATGCGCGAGGCTTCTGCGGTGCCCGGGCGCTGGGCTCGTGGACGGAGGGGAGCGTACACGTCTGTCGGAAGCAGCGGGTCAACAGACACATGAAGTGGGAGGGCGGGGAAAGCAGGCTGGGTTCAGGTTCTCCCAGGGAATCACAACACACAGCAAAAGCAGATCGGTTGTCGCAACAGGAGGGCGCTCGAAACATACTCGGATCTGGGAATCCCAGCGGCCGGCGTGTCAGCACAGACTGTCGGAGGTCCGCGCGGGCTTCTCGGCTCGGCGCTGGGAGACCCCCTGCCTGTGGCGCGCAGAGGGGCGGCGCCGAGGGGGCGCCGCGCCAGGTGGGCCTCAGCGCCGATCCAAGAAATCCGCGCGGGCCCTTCGAGCATGTGTGCTCATGCCGTTTTGTCTTCTCAAGGCCACGCTGAAGACGCTGTTGGTGAACGGCGATGTTGGGAATCTGGTTTTCGTGACGCCGAACTCGCGCAGAACGAACCATAGTTTTGGAAAACACGAACCAGCCTTTCCTACGGTTGGGTCAGACACGAACCACCCCCACCTGCAAGACCGAAACCTGCATCGCCGTTTTCCTACTTCGTAGATTCGCGTGGCTGCGGTTCGTCTTCTTCGCCTCTCGGGCAGTGCCAAGGGGGCCACCGCCATGCAGTCAACCCGTACAGTAAGGATGCGCGGTAGGGATGCCATGGTCATGGAAGGCTATGTCCACACTCCGCGGGCGGGGCGCGGTCAGCAAGAGCGGCCAGGGATGGGCCGAAAGGGAAGGCCGCCACGGGTAGCCCTGGAAAGTCGCTCATCCTTGCTGTGCGAGTGGACCGCATGCTCAGGCAGATGCGTGCTCTTTGCCGTTTCGGGCAGTGCCACGGGGGGGGGTCACCACCGCGGTGCGAGTGCCTCGTGGGGGTGTGCGGTACGGATGCGGGGCCCCGGGACGCCCGAGCTGAGGCCGAAGCTGGAGGCCCACGGCCCACGGCCAAGGGCCAGGGTGGGCCGAAAGGCGCGCGGCGTGGCAAAGGGGGGCCGGGGGGGGGCTTCTGCCGATGAGCCGAGCACTGCACAGACATGCTTAGGACCCCCTGAAGCTGGAGGCCTCCCAAATGGGGTCGGAGCAACGGGGGTCGGAGGATCGCGCTGCATCACCGATGCATCGGCGATGCATCGCCGATGCATTGGCGATGCATGGCCGACACCGGCTATGCATCGGCGATGTCGGCGTCGTCGGCGATGCGGTGCGGTCCTGCGACCCCATCTGCTCGGGCCCCACGTGTGAGGCCTAGAGAACGGCATCCGTGGGCCGAGACGTTCTTCGTTCTGCCCCGGTGGAATTTTCGAAGTCCTGCTTAGCAAGATGTCCTGGCTTCGGGGGCTCTGACAGAAACGTTCGGAGGTCCGCCCGGATTTCTTGGGTCGGCGCTGAACCCCCCCCCCCCCCGGCGCGCTCCGAGCACAGGGGAGGGGGGTCGGGCACTGGAGAAGGTTTCTGGGCGATCTTGAGCGTTTTGAGCGGTCTGGCGGGGCGGGGTTCGGGGTGTCCTCAGGGACCCTCTGACTCGACGTGGCGACCCCCCTACTGGTAACCTCTCTTTGAATGGCCTGGGTCTCGCAGGGCTCCGGGGCTTGTGAGAGGGCTTCTCAGAAGCGGCGGGGGTGGGCTGCACCCTGCCTACCGCCCCCCTCGCGCCACCCCCGGTAGACCGTGGAAGCAGCGGGTCCTGCTGGAAACGAGTCCTGGATCCCGGGGCTTCCCTCAAGCCCAACTTCTCATCACTTGTCGTCATTTGACCGCCCAAGGGCCCGCGAGCCCCGGGAGGCTCAGAACGACAATCATCCGGGCGAAGGGTCCAACCATATGCAATTGTGAATGATGCAACTGTGATTATCGTCGTCGGTGGAGCTCCCGATGGGGCCACGAAACATGTGAACGGCGTGCTGAAATTGGTGCGACGCCACCATGCGAACTGCGCCACTGGGACCTTAGGTGGAGCTCCCTATTGGGGCCCGAACCGTGTGAGATGTGCATCGAAATCGGTTCGACGCCACCATGCGAACGTCGCCCTTGGGGCGTTAGGTGGAGCTTTGTTAGAGGGAAGAGAACTATGCACATGCACCGATTCTGGCCAGGCCCATCCTGAGCCCAGGATCGTGCATACGCCCTCCTACCTTGGCCAGGAAGGCATATGCACCGATCCTGGGTCAAGGATGGGCCTTGCCAGGATCAGTGCATGTGCATAGTTCTCTTCGCCCGATTTGTATGGGGCGACAAAATATGTGAGGGGTGTGCCGAAACGGGTGCGACGCCACCATGCGAACTGCGCCACTGAGGCCTTCAGAAGAGCTCCTTGTAAGGGCACGAATCGTGTGAGTGGTGCGCAGAAGTGGGGCCGGCACCACCATGAGAACTGCGCCATGGGGGCATTCGGTGGGGTCCGTGGGGGGGGTGCCGACATGGGTGCGACGCCACCATGCGAGTTGCGCTGTTGGGGCCTTAGGTGGAGCTCCCTGTGGGGTTATGAACTGTGTGAGGTGCGCATCGACATGGGTCCGATGCCACTGTGCGAACTGCGCCATTGGGGCCTTCGGTGGAGCTCCCTACGGGGCCACGAACTGTGAGAGAGGTGTGCCGAACTGGGCGCGACGTCACTCTGCGAACTGCGCCACTAAGACCTTCGGTGGAGCTCCCAATGGGGCCACGAAACATGTGAACGGCGTGCTGAAATGTGTGCGACGCCACCATGCGAACGCCGCCTTTGGGGCCTTAGGTGGAGCTCCCTTTTGGGCCACTGAACGTGAAGGGTGTGCCGAAGTGGGACCGACGCCACCATACGGACTGCACCACTGGGGTCTTCGGTGAAACTCCCTGTGTGGCCGCGAAACGTGTGAGAGGTGCATGGACGTGGGTCCGACGCCACGATGCGAACTGCGCCACTGGGGCTTCGGTAGCGCTCCCTATGTTGCCACGAACCGTGTGCGCGGTTCATCGGAATCGGTGCGACAGCACCATGTGGACGTCGCCTCTGGGACCTTCGGTGGGGCTGCCTGTGGGGCCACGAAATATGTGAAGGGTGTGCCGAACTCGATGCGACGCCACCATGCGACCTGCACCATTGGGGGTGGGGCCACGAAGCGTGTGAGGGTGTTTGGCATGGGGGCGACGCCACCATGGGAGCTGCGCCACGGGGGCCTCTGGTGGAGCTCCCTTTTGGGCCACGAGCCCTGTGAGGGGTGTTCCGGTGTTCCGAAATGAGCAAGCGGAGGGCAGAGCCAGGGAGGAGGGGGAGAAGGAGGATGAAGGGAAGAACGGACGAGGGCGCGGGGCGCTGTCTCTTCAAAAGGAGGACCCAGCACCACAGGACGGTTGCGGGAAAAACCTCCGGGAACTCCCCCCCGCAGGAGCCCTGCCCCTCGTGGCGACACTTGTGCGCGCCGCCAGGCTGGGGTGCGGGCACGTCCCTGGAGCTCTTGATGACCTCGTCGGGCCACTCCATGCCCTTCAGGGGAGCAGTCCGCGTCGAACCAAGGCGTCGGGTCGAATCAGCATGTGCGTCGGACTGGGCTGCTGCGGCACGGAATCGAACTCGAATCGCATCGGCTGCGCCAAGATGAGCAGCGCGACGCGGGCATGAGGGCGCAATGCCGTGTCCCGCAAGCACGGGAGGAGGAGGAGGAGGAGGAGGAAGAGGAGGAGGAGCCACCGTCACCGCCAGGCTGAGCTGGGCGGCGCGGACGGGGGGGGCTATGGCATCCCCCGATGAGGGAAGCAGGTTACTATGCAGGAGCAGCAGCAGCAGCGAAGTACGAAGATCGCGTCGCGCGCCCGCCGTCGCGGGCTCGCGGCGAACCGCGTGGACTCCGCGGGGCTGACGCCCCCCTCGGGAGGGAGAGAGAGAAAGAGAGAGAGAGAGAGAAAGAGAGAGAGAGAGAGAACGCAGGAGGAGGAGGAGGAGGAGGAGGAGGAGGAGGAGGAAAGAAACATCGGATCTTGGTATGAAGAGAAGGGGTCCTGAGGGAAACGGGCCCTGGAACCCGGTGCCTTTGCCTTGAACGTTCTTTCGCCCCATCCCAAGGACCCAGAAATCTCCCAGGACCCGTCTCCCGTCAGACCGACGGAACACCGGGTCATGATCGACGGAGTACCAGGATTGAATCGGATCGAGCCAGCTGGAGTTGATGTAGAACTGGACCGATCGGATCGAAGCGGGCCCTGTCCCCTCCCACCTCTCTCCATCCTTCTCGATCCTCCTCCACCTTTCCCCATCATCGATCCTCCTCGAACCCTCTCGATCCCCTAAATTCCCCTCGGCCACCCTCGCTCCCTCTCGTTTCCCCGCGATCCTCAATTTCTCCTCGACCCTCCTGGAACCCCCTCGACCCCCCTCGATCCACCTGGACCCTCCTCGATCCCCCTCGATTCCCCTCCAACCCCTCGATCCTGCTCGTCCTTCCCCGACCCTGCTAGAACCTCCCCGATCCCTGCTCGATCTCCCTCGGATCCCTCGACCCTCCTCGACATTCCTCGACGTGCCTTCTGGATCGCCATGGAGCGGAGCGCCCGCGCCGCCCCGCCGTCGCCGTAGCGGCTCGCGCCCCTCCCGCGCACCTGCCTTGCTGGCTCCTCGCCTCGCGGCTTGGGCGCGTCCTCGGGGGGTGGCACGCGGCCCTAAGAGGACCCCCCAAGAGGGCCTCCAGAGGAGATTATACCCCCAGCAGCGCACCTTGATAGCAGCAGCCCTATTAGCTGCAGAGGTGAAGAGGCGGGCCGAGGAGAAGACGGTCGGCTGGTGAAAACGTGCGATCCTAGGTATCCCTTGGGATTCCTGGGAAATGCACAGTCATGTGCACCTCAATAACTTGTGTTGCAGAGAACCAGTGGCCGTCGAGACCGAAAACGTAGCCCGAATCGGGGCGAGAGCACGTTTCCTGACATCCTTGTGAGGAAATCTCAGGCGGCACGGCTCCCAGACCGGGCGCCCCTGAGCTCCCCGTCCCCCCTGTGGGATCCGGTGTATCTTACCACCGCTCGAACGCTCTGGCGAAACGCTGTGAAGGAAACAGATTCATGGATCCCCTCCTCCTCCTCCTCCTCCTCCTGGCGAAACGCTGTGAAGGAACATTTTCGCGTTCTCAGCCCCTCGGGCCTCTGAGAGCCCCAGGTGGCCCAAGACGCCCCCCACAAGTACTGCCCGTCAAGAACCCCTCCCCCCCCTTCCAAGAGCGCATGCGCTCGTGCCGGCACGAGGGGGGAACTTGGGCGTGCCGAAGAGGGGGGCCCCAGGAAGGGGGACCTCGCAGGGTGTGTCGCGTGCGTCTTCTGGGAGCCAGGGGGGTCTCAAGGCGGGCCAAGAAGAGCTCCGGGAGGTCGACCAGCTGGTTCAAGAGGTCCTCAAGTCGCTCCATGATCGCTCCGGCGCCCAAGAGGACTGAAGGTGGCCAAACATGCGTTCAACAAGCTCCAATGGGGCCCCAAGAGCACGCCCAAGAGGGCCCCAAGAGACAAACATCTTTGATTTTCCGTTGGGCTTGGCTGATTTGTGAATTCACGCCTTTTCGGCTTCCCGACGCTCCAAGACGGCCCCAGATCGCCCCTAGACAGCCGCAGAGGCCCCCAAGAAGGCCCCAAGACTGCCCAAGAGGCGTCCAGACGGGGGACCCGAACGGACATTTGGAGAGGCCTCCACGAGGCTCCACGAGGCTCCAAGAGGCCCCCAGGAAGCCCCAAGACGCCCCCCAGAGGCTCTAAGCCCTCCACAGGCTCCCAAGAGGCCCCAAGACTGCCCTCCAGAGGCCCCCGAGAGCGCTCGGAAGAGACCCCACGAAGCATCTCCGAGGACTCTGACCCACAACCCAGGGACGGTGTCAGGATGGAGATAGCAAAACACCAACCTTCCTGTCTTTTTGCATCGCGATCATGTCTGAATCCTCCTCCTCCTCGCCCTCCCCTCCTCCCCCGCCCCGCCCGAGACGGCCAATGACAGCAGTCCCCCCATTGGCGCCCGCAGCCAGTGGAAGCCAGCGTGTGTCGGTTCGATTGCTCGGGGAGACGCGCTGGCCCGCGTCAGCGTCACCCTGGGCCAACCAGGGGCCCTTTCGCGAAGCCCTGACGGCCGCCAAATAGTTGTCAAACCTGGGTCAGCGGAGGGCAGAACTTGGCAGTTGACATTTTATCCGTGCCCGTTCTCGCGATCCCGAACCCCCCACGAGGAGCCAAAGCGGGGATATGGATCAACTCCTGGCCTCCGAGGCCACGCTTTTCTTACCTATGCCCTGCTTCCCCTGGCGCGCAGTGGGGAGGGGCAACAGCAGGGGCATGCATCGAGCGTCGATCTTCGAAGAAAGGAGGGCGGGCCCCACGTGGCTCCCAAACTTGGGCCAGCTGGAGGGGATTGACCGACCCCCGTTAGCGCCGACCCCCGTTCTCAAACATCATCCTCCGATCCCTGGGGCTACTTTTGCATCCCGGAGCTGCTTTTGTTGAGTGCCCCGTGAACCGAAAGCGGGCCCCTGGGGCCGAAATGAAGGAGAGGCGCCACGAGTGAAATGACTCGACGCGGAGATCCCCATGTGTGCATCTCACTTTCATGGCATGTCTCGCTGTTAATGTCTGGCTCTGGGGCCAGGAATGGTGGACACGCCCTCCGTGCCAAGCCTCCTCCCCATCCCCCATCCTCCCCCGATTTCCTCCTACCTCCTCCTCCTCCTCCTCCTCCTCCTCCTCCTCCTACTCTTCCACGCTCCGTGAAAACACTCCTGGCGCTTTCCCCATGAGGTGCCCAAACCAGCGCCTGGCCCGAGACATCCTCACAATCTGCTCTGAAAGCAAACGATGTCGCGCATCCAAATCTGAACACCGCTCGAGTCATCCCCACAATCTGAACGCGAGCGAGCCCGTGAGAACCCTGGCGGCTCCCCCTTGGAGTGCTGAAGCCACCGCCTGACTCGCCTCACACACTGTTCTGAAAACAGAGGATGCTGCGCACCCAAACAGGCGAACCGCTCAGCGATCTTTGCGCGAATGGGCTCGTGAAAACACCTTGGCGGCTCCCCCTTGGAGTGCTGAAGCCAAGGCCTGGCTCGAGAAATCCTCACACACTGCTCTCAGAGCAACGGATGTTGCGCACCCAAGCAAGCGAACCGCTCGAGACGTCCCCACAATCTGAGCGCGAACGAGCAAGTGAGATCACCCTGGTGGCTCCCCCTCGAGTGCTGAAACCAACACCTCGCTCGTGAGTCTGATGAGTGAGATTAAGTGCGAGTGAGTCTGAGTGAGTCTGAGTCTGAGTGAGTATGAGTGTGAGTGAGTCCGAGTGTGAGTCAGAGTGAGTCTGAGCTTGAGCGAGTCTGAGTGAGAGTGAGTCTGAGTGTGACTAATGAGCCTGAGTGAAGAGGGGGAGGGATGAGGGTGAGTGTGAATACGAGTGGGTCTGAGTGTGAGTCTGAGAGTGAGTGAGTCTGAGCGCGAGTGAGTCTGAGTGTGAGTGAGTTGAATCTGAGTGCGATGATTGAGCCTGACTTGAGGAAGAGGAAGAGAAAGAAGGAAGTCCAAAGTCGTCTACTTCGTATCAATGACCCCACCTCAAGACATGGGGAACAACTATAGTTGGAGCGTTGGGTTGCGTGAGCGTCCCAAAAAGAGATAAGAGCCGGCGAGGATTTCAGCGACACGTGGAGGCACAAACCCACTGCCCAATCTGAGACTTTCGAAGCTCCGCGCGGACTTCCTGGGACGGCGCTGGGCCCCCCTCCCTGGCGCGGCGGAGCGCGCCCAGGGCGGCACCGGAAACGCCGCCGAGGGGGCCCGGTGCCGATCCGAGCAATCCGCGATGGCGTTTATCGAAAGCGCTCCGGTGGGAAGAGGGCCCGTCCCTTGGAGGCCCGTCCCTTGGAGGCCCCCTAGACGGGGCCCGTCCCTTAGAGGCCCGTGGGAAGAAGGCCCGTCCCTAAGAGGCCCCCGAGATGGGGTCCGCACAGGTGGGGTCGGAGGATCGCGCCGCATCGCCGAAGCATCGGTGATACAGTGACACATCGCCGATGCATCGGCGATACATCGGCGACGTCGGTGACGCATCGGCGCCGTCGGCGAGGGAAACATCGGGCTCCACATCGAGCCGCCTCGGCGATGCATGTGCGATGCGGCGCGATCCTCCGACCCCATCTACTCCGACCCAATTTTGGGGAATCAATCTAGAAGAAGAACAACAACGACAGAAACATACACTTTTGGCGCTCCGCGCGGATTCCTTGGATCCGCGCTGGACCCCCCTCCCTGGCGCGCGGAGCGCCAGCGCGGATCCAAGAAACCCGCGCTGAGCGCCAACAGATTTATGCTTATGGCGCTTCTTCGTCTTCGTCCTGAATGTCCCTTGTTGTCCGTGCCATTCTTGGCCCATCGGCAGAAACCACCCGCCCCCCCCAACAGGGCGCGCGCCTCTGGGTCCCCCCTGGCCCTTGGCCGTGGGCCGTGGGCCGTGGCTTCCAGCTTCGGCCTCGGCTCGGGCGTCCCCGGGCCCTGCATCCCCTACCGCCCACCCTCACGATCCAGTCGCACGACAGGTGGGGCGTTGACCTAAGGAACCCTAAATAAGGACCGAGGCCCTTTTTTTCCATAGGTGAACAGCTTCGATTCCCCATCGAAGACCTGAGGAACACCTGAGGCGAACTGCAAACCAAACTAAGGAGCACTGAGCCCCTCCCAACCCAAAAAAGAGTTCCTTCTTCAGCGCCCCGACTGTGTATGGGTGACCCCCCTCAGCACTGCCCGGAAAGGCGAAGAAGACAAACTGGCCTGAGCGTACAGGTTTCAAGGCCCGCGCGGATTTTGGGGATGGACAGACCTCCCTTTAGTAAAACGTGGTTTAATGAAAACGACCTCGGGCCCAAACCTGGCGGGGGCAAGCCTGGAAAATAACGGCCGCGGCGCCCTCTCGAGAACCGAAAACGGACAATTCACTAATCGACGTGTCAGGGTAGGAGGTCTGTCCACCCCCGAGGATTCCTGGGATTGGCGCTGGGGCCCACCTGGCGGCGTCTCAGGCGCTGGCGCCGCCCCTGGCACGCTCCGCGCGCCGGAGAGGGGGAACCCATCGCCAGGACGAGAAGCCCGCGCGGAAATCCGACAGCCTGTGCCTGCGCTCCCCTCCCTCCACGCGCCAGGCCCCTTGGCACCCTGGCGGTGGCCCCCAGGGGCGACTCCCCCCCGAATCCGGATCTGGAAGCTCGACGTGGGCGCGGGAGAAAGGGGTCCGATGCCCGACAACACTGGTTGCCCCGAACCGATCGCGGACGCTGTTGGGCAGGCGGCCGCCTGCCTCCAGTGGACAGCGTCCGCAGCGGCGCGGACGGCGAGCCCTGCTCAGAGTGACCAGGAACGGCTGCGGCACACCGTGCCCCCCACCTCCTCCTCCTCCTCCTCCTCCTCCTCCTCCTCCTCCTCCTCCTCCTCCTCCTCCCCCTCCTTCCGGTGCCCGCTCCCCTCGTGCCGATACGGCGGGTGCCCGTCCTCCTCGTCGTCGGACGCGAAGCCCCTGAGCGGCACGGGCTCCTCGAAGGCCCTCGGCCTCGCGGCCTGCGGCGCGGCGGCCGTGGGCCTCGCGGCCGCCTCCGCCGCCGCGGGCTCGGCGGCGGGCCGGGGCGGCCCGCCGCCGCCGCCGCGCTCCTGCGGGGCGCCCACCTCGCTCCGAGGGGCCTCGGCGGCGGGCGCCCGGTCCCTGGGCCTCGGGGCGCGGAGGAGGGAGGCGTAGAGATCGGCACCGGCACCAAGCGTCGGCGGTGGCCTCCCCGGACGCGGCGGCGAGGAGGGGAGCGAGGAGGGGGAGGCCTGCTCTCAGGAGGTGGCGGGGCTTCTCGGAAGCCCTCTGGCCTCGGGAGGAGTCGTCTGGTGCCCTCGTGGAGGGCCCAGCCAGCTTCTCAGAGGGCGGGAGGACTTGCGAGCCTTCTGTGAGGTCGGGCATGTCCCTCTACAGGCGGATTTTTGGTCAAAATCAACCAATACCCCGCAAATACTCCCAAATATTCAACAATAGTCAAAACCATATTATTTTTCTACTATTTTTGAAGATTCCTCCTGAGACACGCCCGACTTCAGCCTTCTGAGAAGGGCCGCCCCCTCTCACTTCCCCCGCAGGCTGGCTGCCAGCAGACAGCGGCCACCCCGACAAACATCGGGACGGATGTGTTCGAGCGTCTTCGGCCTCCTGGGGCCCTGGCCGGGCCACGGGGCCGTCAACAGAAGACGACCCGGGCAGGACGGATGAGCAGTCCCGGGGGATGGATGGAGACCTCTGGGGGTCCACGTCGCGAGCAACAAACACGACGTCGGGGGCCTGAGACCGAGGCGGGATGATCCCGATCTCGGTGATGGTGGTGGTACTCGGGCGTCTTATACGCGGCCAGAAGTTTACCACCGGCACCCGAAAATCTAGGATCATCTTTGCCCGGTAGAGTCCCCCCAGTGGAAGCCTCACTCTGTTTGAACAAAAAACAGAAACATACATTCTCGGAGGTCCGCGGGGATTTCTTGGTTCGTCGCTGGACCTTCCTTCCTGGCGCGCGCTAGGGGCGGCGCCAGAGGCGCCGTAAAGGGGGCTCATCGCCGATCCAGGAACAACACGCGGACCTCCAAAACTCTATGTTCATGCAAATTTGTTCTTCTTCGAGTGTTGGTGTTGGTGCCAATGTCCAGTCCTCCCAAGATAGGCTCGAAGACCGCCAGGCTATTCCTTTGAGCAATGACCGATCGTCGTGGCATTCCTATAGGCCTACCATGGCATGTTCCCGACACAAGACTGCTGCAATAACAACAACAACAATGTTATTGGACCACATCGCCGATGGAGTCACACAAGGCGGTCTCAACCATAACTGTTCTAAGAACACTTCGCGCAAACGGCAAACGGTTTCAGAACATGCCATTCCCTGAGATCTGACATCTTCAAAAATGCATCATCGCGAAACACCGCGACCCAAACCCTCGACCCCATCAATCCGCGCCATTTGTCGAGCCGCATCGATCTGTGAGGGCCCCGGGGCCCGAAACGGGGCGAACACGGCCCTCTGCAACAAAGCTGCGACGCCTGGATCTCAAGGTTCTTTGGTAAGCCTATTGTCAGATCGAGCGTGTCCTCCTACAGGTGGATGCTTACGGAGAATAAAAAAACAAAACAACAAAACAAACTAAAATACTCAAACATAGTAAAACAACACGTGTCAAACCATCGGGACTATTCTGGACTATGCTTGACTGTTCCTCCTGCAGAGGGACATGCCTCTTGGCAAGCTGGGACGCTTCGCCACTGCTCGACTCCTGGCGCGGCGACGGGGCGCAGCGGCCTCCGCGGGCAGTGCCGCGGCGGCCTCTGGGGGCGGCGCCGCGCAGCCCTCGCCCGCTGGGGGCGCGGCCGCGCTGTCGGCGGCCTCCGCCGCCCTGCCCGCGTCCTGCTCCGGCTCGTGGTCCGGAGCCCAGTCGGCCTCCTCGTCGTGCTCCGGGCTCAGGCTGACGCCGTTCGTGGCCTCCGCGCCCCCCTTGGCCAGGCCGCGCTGCTCGCCGCTCGGGGCCTCCTCGGCAACGCCGGCCGCGCCGGCGGCGCCGGCCGGCTGGCCCTCGGCGGCCTCGGCGGCTCCGGCCAGCGGCGCCTGCGCAGCGGCGGGGGCAGGCTCGGCCACAGCGGCCGCGGGGGCCGCCGCGGCCTCGGCCGCGGGGGCCACCTCGGCCGCTGCCTCGGCGGCCGCACGGCCCGGCGGCGGGGGCCGCCTCGGCCGCCTCGGCCGCGGGGGGCCGCTTCGGCCGCGGGGGCCGCCTCGGCCGCCGCGGCGGGGAGGGGCGGCCTCCTCGGCCGTGCCTCGGCGGGCCGCGGCATCGGCGGCGGGGAGCCGCCTCGGCCGCCGCGGGTGGGGCAGGCGCCTCCGCGGGTGCCGGTGCAGCGGCGGGGGCTGCAGGGGCCGCCTCGTGCTCGAGGAGCCTGGCCACGAGCTGCGCCTTGTTGCCGCCGACCTGGAGGCCTCTCTCCTTCAGCAGCTCCTTGAGCTCCACGACCTTCTTGAGCTCCAGCGCTGCCCTGTCGCCCATGCCGCCCGCGGCGGCGGAGGGCGCGCCCCCCGCGCGCAGGCGAGCTCGGGCCGAGGAGGAGTGGCGACGGAGAGGGTGCCATCCCTGGACGCCCGGCGTCACGAGGTGTCCATGGCGCGCAAGCCCCCAGAGGTCCCCTGCGCCCGCTCCCTAGCCGGGGGCAGCCTGCAGAGCCGCGCCTTGACGGCCCCAGAGGCCCTGGGGTGGGGGCTCTCGGAGGCCGAACACGGGCCAAAAACCTTGCAGTCGTGGATTGGCCGGAGTGGGACGTCTGGCGACAAAGACGCTTGGTTTGGGGCGATCGAGATGAGTACAGGAATAACGGGTACAAAGACCGACAGCAATCCCTCTTCATTTTGAACGGGACTCGCTGTCGGGATCGCCGCTGTGCTTGGTTGAGACAGAAGGCTGCCTTGCCTGCCCAACAGCAACCGCTGTTGGTTTGGGGCATCATTTGTTGGGCATTGTACCCATCTGTTCCGTACCCAGTTCGGGCGTCCAAATTGGTGTCCCTCTCCCTTCCAACGGCCTGGAGGCCGCAGAGCAGCGCGGTCAACGGTAAAGACAAGCCGCTCACCACGGCCCCACGCGGCACCCAGTTCAGGGGCGCCGAGAGGCGGGTCGTGACTTGCCCCAGGGGGGAACATCGACCCCTAATGGCCGATGACCCCCCCAACAAACATCAGATGAGGGCAAAACCCGCCCAGATCAACATGCCCAGACGGTCCCAGTTTTGGAATCAGCTTTGGTCGGGATGCTCTTCCTGTAAACGAGCGCCAATGTCCAGGCATCGCGATGCTGACGCTCCCCGCTGCCTTGTTCGGAACTGGCCCGGCGAGGCCAGGGAAAAGGAGAGGCGGGCCGAGA